GTCAGCACGCCCTGATCTCGATCGGGGTGTGTCAATGAATGTCTTAAAAACTATACGATTTTTGAATTGTTTTATGTATTGAATGACTTTATTAATTTAAATGACTATATTAAATCTTGAATATTTATGCATATTTTTCTCAATTTCAATAATAAAGAAATTAAAGAATCAGATATATTAAATCTTGAATGTTTATGCATATTTTTCTCATAATATATCATGTTGGAAACTAACATAATAGTTGGAATACATTTTATTTACCGTTTCCAAACTCCATATAAGGAGTGTTTTGACATAAATGTAGGACTTGAATATTTATGCATATTTCTGAATTCATTGTCTATATTTTTAAATTTGCATAAATTAGGCATTTTATTTCAATTTTTTATCTTCTTACCAAATTTAAAATATGAAAAGGCACTAATTTTGGTTTTTTTTGCTTTTATTGTATGTGTTTATCCTGAAATTAGTGTAGTTCTAGTTCTATATAAATTCGAAAGTTTATCAGGTTGGTCTCACATTGGGTTATTTTCTATATTTTTATCATTTATATTTGAGTCCAGTGCGGTTTTTGAGTGATTGTGTTATCAAAATGTGGATCAGGCAGAAAAAAGAAACAACGTATTTATATCCTTTGTTTTTATCTATGTTCATTTTGTTTTCTTTGTATTGTTTGTTAATTAACCTACCATATATTTCACCAACTGACATATATTTCATTGTTGTTTTACTATTAGGAGTAAAATGTAGGGTGCCACCATTGCAAGATGTGTTTTCAAAAACACATCAGCGGCAATTCCAATATATGCCGACACCTCTTTCGTGGGATTGTGCTTTGAAGTGTGTTCATGGTTTGATGAGCTCATAGTTGGGGAATTCCAAATGACTTATGTTGTCCTTGATCATCCTCCCTGCTTGTTAAAATCTGATTTAGATGTGCGTGTGTTACATTTGTCATGTTATAATAACAAGCAAAATTCAGTGACTATTATTGTTAACGAGTGTCAAATCACCATGTGAAGGTAATAGTGGTGTTAATGGGAATGGATTTTCCTTCAACGTTTGGGATGGTGCTACACCTAGTAACACCAATGACTTCATTGGAAAATATGATGCACCACTGCCACAAACTTATCTATCTCACCCATGGAAAACCTATATTAATCACGTTGGGCAAAGGTTTATTGGGGGGGGGGGGTCTCTGAGTTTAGAGACAAACTTCGTAAGTATTCCATCGAGAAGGGGTTTAGGATAGCTTTTTTAAAAAATGAAAAGGAGAGAGTGACATCTGAGTGTTCTAAAAAACTGTCTGAAGGTTGTATGTGGCGGGTGCACGCCACTTTGTGTCTTATATTCGTACATTGAACAACACACACACTTGCAGCGGGTTGATTCGTGAACGGAAAGGTGGCATGATGTCATCCAAAGTGGTCTCATCCGTTCTCGTGGAGCAAGCTTCTTCCAAGCCAATGTTGAAGCCTACTGAGATCGTAAAGGATTTTAAGAAATATTATGGATTGGATATTTCGTACTAAAATGCGTGGTACGAGAAGGAATCAGCCAAAAAACTGATGCATGGTCACGAATCGTTGTCATACAATCACTTGACTTGGTACGTCAGAGCAATTGAAAGTTCAAATCCTGGCTCACATTGTGTGTTGGAGTGCGAATCGAAATCTTTCCGATTTAAAAGGATATTCATATCTTTCCATGGTTCCATAGAGGGATTTGCGTTTTGTAGGTAAATTATGATTCTTCGTATTTTTTTAACATCATTTCTCATTTTACATGAATTGCATATGTGGCAACTCTTAATTTACCTACCCTTATGTTTCCAGGCCTATGTTATTTCTTGATGGAACATTTATCAAGAACAAATACAAGGGTCACTTGCTTGCAGCTACCGGGAAAAATGGAAACCAAGGTACTTATATCCAAATATGATATATTTATGATTTATTTTATTTTCTTAATACATTTGTTCAATCATGTCTTACATATATATGGAGAACATATTGTCCCTATAAATTATGTGTTATAGTCCCTATAAATTATATGTGTGTTACATATTGTATACGTTCATCAGTATATAAACTAGGTCAATATTGTTGGAAGATTATCCACTACTATGTATAAATTTTAGGTGTCAATTTATTTTTTCTGCCTATATTTTAACAAACTGTTATCAGGTTTTCCAGTTCACAATACTACTATATTTATAACATATATTTACCTACATCGTTATATATTTATCAGGTTTTCTAGTTCACGATATTCCTTCATTTTGTTGACCGAAAATTCTTTCACCATGGTTTGACTTCTTGAGGTTGTTGACATATAGTACATCACTACGATTCCGCAGTCAAGACTGACCCACACTGACATGCATCCTATCTTGATGCATCCTATCTTGTTCTTCATTTGACAAGTACATCCACACTGCCATGCATGAAGGGTCGAGTGTTATACCAATTCTTTGTTTCCCTTTGACCGTGTGACGACCAATAGCTTCTGATCCTATCTGAGCCTTCCCTTTAGTAGTGTCTACAATCTTATCATTTTCGGCGGGATTCACAACACTAGGTACTATCTCATTAAGCTTCGCCTTTTTGGGTTCCCTCCAAGATTTCATCTCATCATAAACAAACCCAGTCAAGCGTTTCGGTTACCTTTGTTTCCTTTTCAACCTTACAATCCATGTAGCGATCTCAGGGGATGAGGCATGTTTGTTTTCACCCATTTCCTTTTCTATGCATTCAAATAGTTCCGTAAGGTCCGACGACAGATCATCATACTGATTGTATGCATCTGCAAAAAGAGCTTCAGTATCGCAGCACATTTCATGGTACACAACAGAATGCACTTGCGCTACCTCAACTTCAATTTTCAACTTTTTTATCTCTTCCTTCAATGACTTATTCTCTGAACGTTCCTTTTCCAGTCGTTGTTCCACACTAAGTTCAGAATTTTTCGGTACATGATGTGCCTCAACGAGTTCGCACTCGCTAAGACCTTTGTGGAAAAGATTGTCTTGTGAACTGATGAGTTGAAACATTTTGGACGGGTTGAACTCTTTTTTGGAAGTAGTACTCACCACCTCTTTCGTTCGAATCTCATCAAAATTAGAACCACCACTCACACCAGTTGTCAAACGATGATTCGCAACACGAAAAATTTTCTGGTGTTCCAACATGTAAGAGTGTAAACAAGTTACTACACATATTACACCATACAACTATTCTATATATAACGAATTTCAAACAACATGCCACCACAAAATTAGTAATTTTACCTTTTCAGATGTAACACTAGCAACTGTAACTGACGAGGTCATGTTTTTCGCTAAAGACTTACGGGCAGCAATTGGTTGTTGAGATTCATAGCTACGAAACTTGCTCTTCAAAATTCCAATGGTAGGGGTCTTATGCACATCATTTACATCCTGTATATATATATATATATATATATATATATATATAATAAATACATATATACATTGTGATATATAGTAAACAATAAATTACAATACGCATTCATTAAAAACATGAGACAAAAGGTTAAAACCAAAACCGACATACCTGAAAAAGTCTTGATCATTGTCTCTGTGTGGGGACACCATAATGTGAGGTTCACACCTCAAACTTCTATTCATGTGTGACTCTGATGCATCGCTAATCTAAAATAGCCAAAATGATAACCATCGTCAAAACATTAATATCAAAATCACCACACAAACACAAACTGGTCATCGAATTACAAAGCATAAAGATGAAATTAACACACCCGATTAGTGTACAATACATACCGGCAACAGCACAACACATCCAGATACATGTGATGGTTTTCCGCAATTCTTGACCAGTTGTTTTTGCAAACAATCCGATGTTGCTTTTGCCCAATTGTAGCCCGCCATTGTTCGAACATCTTGACAACGGGAAGTTATGTTCCAAGAGATGGTACTACCACTATTACAAAATAATAATGTAATACAAAGATGCAAACACATTAGGCATACAAAATCCTCACGATTCTGTTGTGTTTTCCCTGTTACTATTGTAATCATAGCAGATTCAATATTTTGCCTAGTAATTCTGTCAACTGTTTTAAAATTTCTTTTAATGAAACCTTCGTCAGACTTTAAACAATGTTCATTAAGATTTATATCCCGACCAAAGCTAGGTAATCCAAGCAACTCATCAATTTCAAACCGTGTTAACTTTTCACACCCATCACCAAATTTGAATTCAGATGTCTCGGCAATGAAACAATTAATTATTCTAATTATATCTACATAAGTCTTCCTACACATATCATCGCTAACCAACCCTCCATCATAAGCTTTGAAAAGACCCCAAAATAGTGTTCCTTTTATAATGTCTCGATGTTCTTCCTGAATTTTCAATTTCAAAACATTAAAAACATTCAAAAATGGACCAAATGCAGCTCGGTATTGCATTTTTCCAAACTGTTTTCTGTTGATTTCCATTCCCAAATCTACAATGAAAAAGACAAAACAAAGCCAAAACAGGTCAGACAATGAATGTACCTACAAGAAATATTCCATGTTACAATCAAAAGATTAGTTAAATTGAATGAGACTATGCCAATTTACCAACATGGCATATAAAATTCATTCAGGACTTTCCTCAAACACATTATGAGGGCACAATATAGAATTACACCGAAATGTAAACAACACAATCGAGTCATACCAAAAAATATAGTACACTTACAAGTGAAATTCTGTTCGAATATGAACGAACGATTTGGAATAGATTACTTCCTCCAAATTTTTATCATTATCCAACGGTATATAATGTACCTACGAAACAAACGAAATTAAATACTATGAAATCCATACAGATTTCCATAAAATAAATAGGTAAAAACGTATCATAATCACCTGTTTAAATGCATAGATTATGATCGGATTCATTGAAGACCCACTACACACCATGTTTGAAAGTATCTCATTTAAGTTGAATGGTGCGATTCAAATCTCAAAAACGGTTCGATTTTCTGATTGCATAGTTCCCTTGAAGCCTACCTTTACATACTTGAAGATTAAAACTTGCAGACTCGCAAACCAGAAAAGAAAAAGACTTCCAGAAATACTTATTAAAATTTAATAAGTAACTTCAAAATAATACTAGACTAATTTCCCATAAGAAGATAAAAGACAAACACAGAAAATGGAGCTACAGAGTTCTGGAGTTGTTTCCTCAGGCGGGACGCGGGAGAGAGAGGAAAATGGGGCGGAGAGAAGAAGATGGTGGGCCCGACCTCCATGATTTGCTTACGTGTCAGATAACTATAACTTTATCTATTTTTATGAAGAAGGAAGTGACAAGGAAGGAAAGAGAGGGAAGAGACAGCGAAATTGCTGCCTACCCTAAAATCAATATGCCAGCGTCGACTACGATGTTTTTTTTCCCTCTCGCTAGGGCTCTGAGTTTTTTTTCCACCTTTCTTGCTTAACAAATACGTACCCTGTCATCGAAAATAGCAAATAATGCAAATTAAGAAGAGAGAGAGAGGAAGAAAAATTGGTCTTTTAACACTTGTTCGTGAGCTAACATATGAATTTGGCCTTGAAATGGGACATGATCAAAACTTCCTTTTTCTTCTTTTTTTTTTTTAGTAGCAACGGCACACTTATATTGATAAAAGAAAACAGATTACAAATCAGGGAGGCAGAACATACCATCACCATTACAATATCTTCTATCTTCTATAGAACATAGATTATGCTATGCCTTTAATTTTGTCTAAAACTTCCTCTATTCTATGCACTGGTTATGATTTAAGGTGTTGAATGCAAAAAAAAGCATGATCAAGTCTAAATTTCTTGGATTACAGATTGAGTTCTGAACATTTTTGGATGTGAGAACCAGCATTCTTTCTCCACACATACCATCACCGTAGCTCTTACCGCCTCCGCCTCAGCCATGCTACTCGATCCATGTCCATGTCCTCCCGCCCCGTGAAACACACCACCACAGTCCCGCGCTACCCATCCAAAACCACCCATACTCGTTGGCCTTCAACTGTGCCCCGTCACAATTTATTTAATTGCTCATAATATTACACACTAAATTCTATATTAATCTAATTTACGGGGTGGGGGATTTGAACTTCGGTGCAATGCTATGGGGACTTTGCCTCGGCCAACTGCTCTAACTCACGTTTGCTATCCCTCTTTAGATAGCTGAATATTGGCTTAGCAGGTACTGGTATGAACTTGAAAACCCAACTAATTGGCCAAGATATGGCTGCAATCCCAATGCATGCACCCCATTGTCCCCAACTTAACCTCTCTGTGTCTGCAAACTTGTTCAGAAGTTCCACCATAACCACCTGAACTGCAATTGTTACAACGAGGATGCCCCAAAACAGCCTGTTCCCCTGACTCCCTTTGAAGATATTAATCCTTTCCATATCCCTTGAATTAAGCTCATTAAACACTTGGCAAAACACAAATACATTGAAGATCAATGTGTTGTTTACCTTGTCACTAACACCAAATATTGATCTGCCTTTGAACTGTAAGACCAAGAGCACAACTATCTGGAACAAAGCTTGGGGTAGAAGGTTCCTCCACATGATGTTGGTGATCACGGGATCTGTCTGACCCACGGGTGGCTTTTCCATGAGCTCTTTGGTGGGCTTATCGGTGGCGAGAGCCAGAGCCGCCATTGTGTCCATAATCAGATTCACCCACAGTAGTTGGACCGCTGTTAAAGGTACTTCGCCAGCCGAGGCAGCTGCCACAAAGTTGACCACAAGAGTTGCAACATTTATTGTGAGCTGGAATTGAACAAACTTTTGGATGTTGGCATAAACTCCTCTTCCCCATCTTAAAACAGTCACCAAAGTTGCAAAATTGTCATCTAAAATGACAATGTCTGAGCTCTCCTTGGCCACTTCCGTTCCCTGAATCCCCATCGAGAGTCCTATGTCCGCTTCTTTGAGTGCGGGCGCATCATTCGTGCCATCACCTGTCACAGCTACTACATTGCCTTTCTGTTTCAAGCACTGCACCATAAGAAGCTTATCAAATGGCGAAGACCTCGCCATCACGTGAATTCCATCAACTTTCTGCATTCTTTGCTCTGGCGTGAAGTTGCGAAATTCTATACCTTCTACCACTGCTTCCTTGGCTTCCTGGTGAGGCCGGAGTATCCCGCACTCGCTAGCTATTGCTTTAGCGGTGAAAACATTGTCACCGGTGATCATTTTCACCTGCACCCCAGCTAATTGGCAAGCTTCTACTGCTTCCCTCACTCCTGGCCGACATGGATCCTTTAGACCTACCAATCCTAAGAGGATCAAGCTGCTTTCTTCGAGCTTTTCATACTTTTCGTCATTAATGTGCTTATTCTGAACTTGTTTGTGTGCAAAAGCAATGCATCGAAGACTGCTTGCTGCCATGCCTTGAATAATTTCCTCAAACTTCAACCTTTCATCATCATTCAGATCTTTTGTGACACCAGACGCATCGTAGTAACTCGAGCATATTTCTAGTATCATTTCTGCAGCTCCTTTCCAATGTACATGGGTAGTATTGTCGTCCTTCCTTCTCATCAAAACCCCACTTCGTTTCTTGTGCGAATTGAAGACTTCAACATGTTGAATGACACATTGCTTCTTCAATTTCTCCATGTCCATGTGCAGCTTTAGAGTAGCCCATGAAAGAATGGCTTTTTCAGTAGGACTGCCCGAAAACTCAAATCCCGATCCTGAACTGGGCCTGTAAACACTACCAGTTGTGTTAAACGCTACTCCTTCTCGAATTAAATCGAGAAGGCAATCAGAAATTGATGAATAACCAGCATCATCTTCCACAGATTCCTGTCCAAGCCAAAACTTTGTAACCTTCATCTCGTTGAGCGTCAGTGTGCCCGTCTTGTCTGTACAAATTACGGTGGCACATCCCATAGTTTCGCAAGCAGAGAGCCTCCTTACCAATGCTTGGTCCGCCATCATCTTCTTCATCGAATAAGCGAGAGTCAGAGTGACAGCCAACGGGAAGCCTTCAGGAATTGCAATCACAACAATAATAACTGCAACTGCTACCATGTCCACCGCAGCATTCACCACATCATCAATCTTTGTCTTGTTGCCCTCAAACTTACCAAATTCACTTTTGTTCTTCGTGTTGCCTGTGAAGTAGCGCGCTACCAAGACCACGAAAACTAGGAATGCAACACCCAAGCCAATCTTCGCCATCAGCGGGGTTAGTTTACTTAGTCGCGCTTGTAATGGTGTCTGCTGATCACTAGTGTCACGGCCGATCAAGCTCATCATTTCGCCCCACGTCGAGTTCATGCCAACTGAAGCAACAAGAAATTCACCATATCCATCGACCACCTTGGTTCCTGAAAACAAGAACGGATTCAGGCTGCCATTAACTTCCACATGCTCACTCTCCCCCGTCATGCTTGATTCGTCCACGCGCAACGAATGTCCACGCAAGAACAATCCATCAGCAGGAACTTGATCTCCAATCTTCAAGAACACAACATCTCCAACAACAATATCAAGGTTCGAAATCTGTCGCCGCCTACCGCCTCTCACAACATCAATTGGAATGTCCTCACTTGCTTTGGACAACTTCCGGAACTGCTTGCTCTGCCTGTAGTCACTAAAGGCGGATACAACCACGATAAGAAAAACCGCGACAAAGATGCTTCCTCCGTCATACCATCCTTCTTTTAGTCCATGTTGCTTTATGCCGAATCCAAGTGAGAGCGCAGCGCAGCCTAAGAGGATGACAATGGTAAGATCCTTAGCAGCTTGCCACATAAAATGGAAGAGGCTTTTTGAAGGCGGCTTCTTGTACGTGTTTGAACCGAATGCTTCAAGCCGGCGAGCAATATTGTCACCATCATCGTCGATGCCACGCTCATTGTTGGTTTGGAGAGCCGATACAACGCCATCAATGCCTTCGAGGTCTTGAAGAAGGTGTAGGTTTTTCTCCTTCATGAGTTGAGTCAGGCATTTGCTATCAATTTTGAAGCCATTGTCGAGGTGACAAAGTTCCATTGGAAGCTAAAGGCAGAGTTTGAATGGTTGTGACAGAATCAGCTATCGAGAGTATTATGTAGAGTCTCAGAATCATAGAACCACCTGATTTCTTCATCAGAACAGAAGAAAAGGAAAAATATCCTTTGGAAGTTGCTGAGAAATTGCTTGAACTTTAGCGGAGTTGGCGCTATTTCTGACCTTATCTGTAGGGTTGGTGATTGGTGCACAACCAACAAGTCATACCCCGACACACCCCACCTGCCTTGTCCAACATCTACGTAGAATCAACCTTGCTTTTCCAACCGTGCGATGTGCTTTCTTGTTTCTTTCATTAGCTTTTTACAAGTTAGTGGAAGTTTCTTTTTGCTCCAAATGGTTAAATATAAATTTTACATTCGTCATCCGGGGTAGGCTCAAGCTAATCAAAGCTTGAAAATTTTGTCTTCTGAGTCAGACTCCCCACCGGTTGTTGTGCTTCCTTTTTATTTTATTTTTTATTTTTAGTTTAAGTATCAGTTGGAGATAATTGAGTTTATATTCCACCAAGCACTAGTACTTTATTTTATTTTATTTTTTTTGAAACCTATTTTATTTTATTTTATTTTTTATTCTTAGCGTAAGAGTTAATTAGAGATTGTTCAAAAAAAAGTGTCAATTAGAGATAAATAAGTTTACATTCTGCTAGTGCTTTATTTTTAGCGTAAGTGTCATTAGAGAAATAAATTTATATTCTATTAGTCTTCATGCACATGCTAACACAGATGCAAGGGGCTATGACGCACAAACCAACGGAAGGAAGTCGCATCCGTCCCATCGCAAGCACCTACAATGTCATTATAGATATAACATGTAGAAGAATATCGCTATGCGTTACGAATTAGATGGCAGACACAATTCAACTTTTTATTATTACAGGGGCTACTTGCCACCCAAACCAACTAAGAGAAGTCGTAACCGTCCCATTGCAAGCACCTACAATGTCATTATAGATATAGAATGTAGAAGAATCTCGTCATGTGTCACGAATTAGATGGCAGACACAATTCGGTATTTTTATTATTATAGGGGCTACTTGCCACCAAAACCAACTAAGGGAAGTCGCATTAGTCCCATCGCAATCACCTACAATGTGATTATAGATATAAACTGTAGAAGAATCTCGCCATACGTCATGAATTAGATGACAGACACAATTCAACGTTTTTATTATTACGGGAGCTACTTGCCCCTAAATACTTTTTTGAATCACGCATTATGCACGACTTACAAAAACTTTCTTTGTCACACATGTAGTATGCATTTGTATTTACATATTTTTGTTAAAAGGTTAAACCAAATATAATAAGGTATTAAATTTTCTAATTTTGCATACATTATTTCTCTTTACTAACATCACCGTACACATGAAAAGCCTTTTTTTTTATCACACATGTCACTTTTGACTTGCATACTTTTTCTTTTTTACACTTTTGTCCTTGAAACTGTTCTAGAACACATCCTATTTTTGCCCTTGCTCAAACATTGATTTTGGCTTTTTTTTCCTATTACACATTGAATATGTTTTTATTTTTCACTAACCTCTCTACACACACTCACGCGCATATAAGAAGCTTTCTTAATTACAGGCGCTCGCACCTCTTGAAATATGTTGTGTTAGCTGTTTTCTTTTTCATAATGTGTCATAAAAATAAAAAAATACATTGGAAGTTGCTAAGAAATTACTAGAACTTGGCGCTAATATTGACAGTATCTATAGGGATGGTGATTGGTGCCCACTCAACTGAAGTACTTATTTTGCCATGTAAATTCAATTGCCTTAATTGATTTCTAAATAATTTAGAAATGGATGTGTTAAATTGTGAGTTTCGGTTTCAAAAACCGTAACAGAGCGCGAGCATTTTTATTAGCTTTGTTTCTAAAGTACCCTTAAACTTTAACACACCACTCCCCTACACACCAAACGCCAAATCCCCATGCCTTGTCCAACATCTATGGAGAATGAACCTTCCTTTTCCAACCTTCGCCATGTCGTGTTCTTCTTCCCTTCATTAGACTTCTACAAGTTATTGGAAGTTTCGCTTGGTCCATTTAGTGCTTAGAGATTTTGCACACAATCACTAACTCTGATTATTGTCTGTAAAAAGCTATGTAGTTGTACTGTAGAAAAAGGTATGTAGGCTAAAAATTATATTTGTTATTGATACATGAATGTGGAAAAATAGAAGAAAATGCAAATGGAAGAGAATGCTTATGGAAGAGAATGCAAATGGAAGAGAATGCTTATTTTTTCATTATCTTTCTCTACAAGATTACAAGGATATATATACATGATACAAATGTGTAGGTAGGACAAGGTAGCCGTCCTAGTGTGTAGGTAGGACAAGGTAGGACGGCTGTAGAGGACAAGGTAGCCGTCCTAGTGTGTAGGTAGGACAAGGTAGGACGACTGTAGGACGGCTTATTCTTCCAATAATAATATTATATACAATTACACAAGGACTCCAACCATATTCCTTATTTGTCTAACACTCCCCCTCAAGTTGGAGAGTGGATGTCAAGAACTCCCAACTTGCGTAACATACCCGAAAACTTTTCTTTCCCAAGAGGTTTGGTAAACAAGTCTGCCAACTGTTGTGCCGTACCCACATGCTTGGTCTCTATTGTGCCATCTACAATCTTATCTCGTATAAAGTGACAATCCATCTCAATGTGACGAGTTCGTTCATGAAAAACAGGATTGGCAGCTATATGTAACGCTGCTTGATTATCACAAAATAAAATGGAAGGACCATCCAAAGGAATGTTCAAATCCTTCAACAAAAAACGAAGCCAAACTATCTCGCAACAAGCACCTGCCATGGCCCTATATTCCGCCTCTGCTGAAGAGAGGGAAACGGTTTTCTGTCGTTTCGTCCGCCAAGAAATCAAAGAACCGCCCAAGAATACAAAATACCCAGTAGTCGAACGGCGAGTGATAGGGCAACCTGCCCAATCAGAATCACAAAACGCAGTTAACTTGGTCTGGTTGTCAGAACGAAATAATAAACCTTGACCTAGAGTAGCCTTCAAATAACGAACAATACGAAGCACAGCATCCATATGAGATATCCTTGGCTCGTGCATAAAACGGCTTAGAACATGCACAGAATAGGTGATATCCGGCCGAGTGATAGTGAGATATATTAACCGACCTACTGATCGTCGATACTTTTCAGGATCCTTGAGAAGTTCTCCTTTATCAGATAATTTTGTGTCATCCATAGGAAAAGCAATGGGTCGTGCTCCCAAAAAACCATAGTCCTTGAGAATCTCTAATGCATACTTGCATTGAGAAATATAAATCCCTTGTTTGGAACGAGAAACCTCAATACCCAAAAAATATTTTAAATCACCAAGGTCTTTTATCCGAAAATGATCACGGAGAAAAGACTTCAGAGAATTAATGGCACTAGCATCATTGCCTGTAATCACAATATCATCCACATAAATGAGCAAAGCTGTGAAAGAAATACCAGACTTTTTAGTGAACAATGAATAGTCAGCTTTGGATTGTTGAAAACCGGCAGAAATGATGGCACTAGTGAATTTGGCAAACCATTGGCGAGAAGCCTGCTTAAGACCATAAAGTGACTTGTGAAGGCGACACACAAGATTCTCCCCCTGTCGCCGAAGACCAGGAGGAGGAGACATATAGATTTCTTCATGTAAGTCACCATGTAAGAAAGCATTATTAACATCAAGCTGATGAAGAGACCAAGACTGACTAGCAGCAAGAGCAAGAAGACAACGCACCGTAATCATCTTAGCAGTAGGAGAAAAAGTGTCATGATAATCAATACCTTCAGCCTGAGTGAAGCCTTTAGCAACCAAACGAGCTTTGTAGCGGTCAATAGAGCCGTCGGAATTGTGCTTGAGTTTGTACACCCACTTACAACCAATGGGAATTTTGCCAGAGGGCAAGGAAGTTAAAGTCCAAGTACCATTAACATGTAAAGCTTGAAGCTCCTCAGTCATAGCACGTTGCCAATTGGGGTCAGTGGCAGCCTCGGTAAAGGAGGAAGGCTCCACAGTCCGACTGACAGAGTTAATGTAAGAAAAATGCCTGGGAGAGTAACAGTGATAAGAGAGAAAATTACAAAGTGGATATCGCGTACCTTGTGTAGAACCGGGTTGCGAAGTCGAAGATGGGTGGGATGACAGAATCACCTGGAGCAAACGTAGTCTTTTAAATAGGATGGAGGTTTATGGGCACGGGAAGAGGTGCGGGGAAGGGGGGGATTGGTAGGTAGTGGGGGGGTAGGGATGTCCGTGGGTAAAAGGGTGAAAGGTAAGGAAGTAGCGGGGGGGGGGGGGGGGAAGGAGGGGATGCCGAAAGGGCAGGGGCATGGGGAGGAACGGGTAATGGGGCAGCAAGGGAATCTATGGGAGTTGTGGAAGGGGAGGAAGGTGGAGGAGGGTGAGGCGTCGGGGCAGGAAGGGGTGGGTTATATGTAAAGTCCAGAGGGGGTGGGATGGGTAGGGTAGGCGAAGAGGATGGGATAGGAGGGTGAGAAACGGCATAAGGGAAAGTACTTTCATGAAAGATGACATCTCGACTAGTGAAAATGCGGTGATTGTCGAGATCGTAAAGGGTATAGGCCTTTTGTCCATGAGGATAACCGAGAAAAATGCAACGATGAGCCCGAGGGGAAAATTTGGTGGTGGGAGTGACAGAGGTGGCATATGCCAAACAACCAAAGACGCGGAAGTGGTCATAAGATGGGGTTTTCGAAAAGAGAACCTTAAATGGGGATTTATGATGGAGAAGACGGGTAGGGAGACGATTGATGAGATAAGTAGCGGTAATAACACATTCCCCCCAAAACTTGATAGGAAGATGAGATTGAAAACGAAGGGCGCGAGCGGTTTCAAGAAGATGACGATGTTTTCTTTCAACAACGCCATTTTGTTGAGGGGTATAAACACAAGAAGTTTGTAAAAGCACCCCATGATCAGAGAAAAAACTACGAAGAGATAAAAATTCACCACCATTGTCAGTACGAATGCATTGGATGGTAGTGCGGAATTGGGTAGTGACATAAGCAAAAAAATCCTTAATTAATTGTTGAGTGTCGGATTTATGTTTCATGAGGAAGACCCATGTAAAGCGAGAAAAATCATCCACAATGGTTAAGAAATAATTA